TGGTTCATACATTATGATTTTCATAAAAAATATGTCCCATTTAATAAAAACTTAATATAATTGTTTGTACCAAAAATTGTTGTTGTTTCTAAATTTAGTATTTTTCGCATTCAATTTTTATACGAAAACATATTAGTGGTTGTATTGGTACGGTTGCAAAGAAACCCAGTGGTGAGGAGATTAGGAAAAACGTAAAAGAAACCCAAAATGCGAAAATGAGGTCATGAAGAAGACACCTAAAATTGGCTTATTATTCGCGTCAGCAATCACTCAAAATCTTCCGCTGATACGAATCGTACGTCGCCCATTCTTCGAACATGCTATTAGCGAAACCGCCAGGTAATACATACAAATAAATAATTTGTGTCCACCATAGATATAATAACAGAAATTCCAGTTCCTAACGACTCACTACAGGTGACGTTGCCGATGGTGGCCACGTTAAATATAAGCAAAATGATAACAAACATTTTTATAACTCTAAAAGGCAGATCAAATTCAATATTTATCCAAGTCATATTTCTCAAAAACCATGGCGAATGATGAAGTTGTTAAAAGGTTATGATTAGAATATTTGCCATATATCTATCATTTGCCGCGTTTTTTATGCTCCTTGCACGTTATATGGTGGAACAACTTTGCTCGCTACAACTGGGTTTAACGACTGGAAAAATAGCACCAGCGTTTCTGCACATGATACCAGTTTGCTATCATGGTTGCACCACGTGATACGTTAAGACTGCTTGAGAAAATTAGCAGATCTTCAGTTTTAGAAAGAGTGGAAAGCGCCCAGTTTCTGAGCTTGTGAAGAACCATAAAAATTAAGTGGAATATTGGAGAAACGTCCGGAAAGGAATTGTAGAAACTGATATCTTTAGGATCAAGAGGATTGTCTTTTTTCGGTAATGAGGTCATAGGTTCGTTTTAAAATAGAAACTTCATATTGAGTTGATGTCCAAATTTGACTCGTTTATGGCTGGCCATCTTGTTCGCTATGGAAATAAATTGTCGATACAAGATATATTTCCAAATGTCCAGGTTATTTTAGGAACCTATTTAATGATATCTATGACTAATGCAAATGGCGAACGATCGTCCTCTGCATTTAAGCGCGTAAAGAGAGATCGAGTCTTAAACAAAACACATTGAATGCAATATCTCTGTTATAAATGAAAATGGCAGTTTTGGACGCATTGAGTTTGAAGACAAGAAATTTGCCGAGGCCAAAATGAGAAAACAAAATTCCGCATGACAACGCATATTTTAAAAGTAGACCTAAAATATAAATTACACTCAAATATAGAAATTCGTTTATAATTACCTTATATTTTCAAATTATTGACTTAAAAATGTTTGATATTATTTAAAAATGCACATGTATGACGATTATATATACAATATTTGCATTGGTTACAATTATCAATTTTTTTATTCAAAATATTATAAATAACTTTTATGTTAACAAATCAATTAAAAAGGACGATAAATAATTTGACAGCCTAGGGCGCACATAAGAGTCAGGCACATGACACTTGTACTTTATTAATAATAGTTCTTACTATTCGTCTGCAGCAGCAAAAATGGGTTTGAAATATGTCGAATTTCGGGTGATTTTGGCCTAATTGTTTCTAACGTAATGCATCTGAGACGATAAGGAGGGAAAGATGCGTGATAAGAAAATTTGTTAACTGAATACTTGTGCCTACGTTGTCACACATACCAATCATTTCCATTATTCAGACTCCAAAAGTAGTTTTAAAAATACCACAGAAAAGAAAGCGATGCCTAGCGTAGTTGTTAAATATGGATTACGTAATAGGGAGTCTGAAGCTGTGCCTTAATTACAGTCTTCGGGTCTTGTGGTTCATTTCCTAATTACGTGTTAACAACGGCAGTTCTTCAACTCGTTCATGTGCGTAAGTGCATGAGGAACACAACGGCGTTGGCTGTTACGATGGGTCGCCTGCGGCACTAGCGCGTCGCGTCGCTTCCCGTTGCTCCGTCCGCCCCAGAACTTTCACCCTGGGCTCGAACACATTTCACTGAGCTCGAACTCCACACTTCTCACATTCCGATTTGCTACTTTTATAATGGCAAACGTATCTGTATAGATTCCTTAGATGCCTTATATTCGCAAGTCCTCGGTAGTATAGTGGTCAGTATCCCCGCCTGTCACGCGGGAGACCGGGGTTCGATTCCCCGCCGGGGAGACTTTTTTTTGTACTGAAGTATCAGTGTGTTTCAAATGGTTATGACCTGAAAGTGTAATTTTAAGTTGAATTTTTTGGATTCTTCTATAATGTTGAAAACTACATTTTGTTTTATCAGTTGGTTTCTTTAACATTCATTGAAGCCACATTCAACCCACAGATTATTTTAGTGCCTTAAAATAATTCCAATTTGAGGTGTTGCTCAGACAAAAAATTCAATAATGCATAAGATATAGATGCTCACTATAAGGAATGTCCTCTATATTTTTATGTCTTTCTAAAAGATGATCATAGACTTAGAAAGAAAATAACTTGATGATGCTAGTCTGAATCATTAATGTTCAAAGAGCACGTTCAGGATTTGACTTGTTCATATTCTATTTTTCTTTAACAAACCTTAGAGCATGGTTATGATCAAAACGTGAGTAATTGTTTTCATTTATCTGGAGGATTGTAATAAATCATAAATCTCAGAAATTCATCATACCTATTCTAGAGCAATATTCATAATGGACTTACAATTATATCCCATGTAGTTTAACTACTGACTAGATAACATGATTTTTATCTGTACAATATGGCCGCAAGTTGCTCCTTCACTTGCAATGTACTATAGAAGCAAAATATTAGAGAAATAGTTGCTGCTAGCGATGGCAGTGACTTGGGTTTCACAACTTTTAAGTACTGCTAGTAGCATGCAATCTTCAAACATCGTAAAACGTCCTGACTGACTCGAAACAGAAATCAGCTCGAAAATACAAAACTGCCTAAATAGTAAATGTTTATGATAAATAAAAGATGTTGTCTGGTATCAATAACTTTTTTATTAAGCTTATGATCGTTTCGATCGCATAGCGATTTATTTATTCAGTTATAAGTAAAGGAAATAAAGTATAGTTAATATTAGACTAATTTAACATGTAATAAATATTTTTAAAAAATGTTTTGAAATTGTACATATTGTTACACAGTTGACTACTTGATTAACAATTATTTCACAGACAAAAAAATATGGTATGCGTATTTTTCCGAAACGCGGGGCCCCTGGTGAATGGGGGCCCCCAAGCAACTGCTTGTTTTGCTTGTAGGTAAATCCGTCCCTGGATGTAGGCATGGTATGCAAGATGCGTAAGCAAACTGGGTCGTACATACCTTGCAGCTTCCGGGCCAGAAACAAAGTTCTGCGGATTTTTGAGTGTGTGTCGTGTTTAAGAACATAGCTGGTCGGCAGCTCAACACTATACTTAAATTGGCATTTAAATTACTTTATTCAATCAAATTATACATACCTTTAAAAATTATTTATTATTACAACTCTTAGAATAATGTCGCATTGCATCAAAGACACAATTCCTTTAGATATTGAATTCATAAACTTCTTACATTAAAAAGTTCACCGAATACTGACAGTAATTTATTATTAAATAATTATTGCAATAAACTCCAGATAAACATGCCACTGCAAGGGAGCAGTCGCTAATTTGAGAATCGTTCTAAAAAATGTAATACTTCAATTAAACTATTGCATTTTACTCTCACACCAGTCAGTGTGTCCGTTTCCTTTCCAAAGATTCGGTTGACCGGGCAGCAGAATTGACTTTTCATTGCTCTCCCAGTTCCACAAGAGCTAGTCCTTTTGAAAACCACATAAATTTGGTATTCCAAAAAGGTAGCAAACTGCTCAAGAATAACAAATAAGTAAAACCACAATAAATTAAATATTTTAAAGAAACCAGTATTCACAAGTACTTCAGTAATGTAGTATAATATTTCAATAATTCTTCACACGCCAAGAATATAAAACAGTATCGGTTGCCTCGTACCGCAACACATAAATACCAAACATGTTTGGATATTGGCGAGTGGTGTCTTCCTTGGGGACTTGCTGTCGCATGGCGACAGCTGTATCGTAAGCAGTGACGCACTGAGTATGAGAATAATCTGTACGCGCTGAATGTGAATAGAATAACACAACCAAATAATTGCATGTTGCACTCGAAACCGTTTCATTGTTTTTTTTTAATTTTTCTAGAGTTCCTGGATATCTAACAAGACCATACGCACCTCTTATATGGTCGAAATATGCATAGTTTCCTTTGAGTTTCCGTGCTCATTGGGAATTAGTTATTTGAAATGAATATGAACCAATACAAAATTTTGATTTCAAAAATTAGGAGCCTACATTCAGCAATCAGTCTGCTTGTTCACTAATTCACTACCATAGTCCAGAGAGTGAAACCGCGCCGCTTACCGCAACCACCAACCGCTGCGTTCTGCGTTAATTAGAGTAGTTCAAGCATTTTTTACTTTCTCCGTACGGAGTAGAGAGAAAGTTATGCAATGCTGTGCGAAAAAACGGCCAATTTTCGGCAGAAAAACACTTATTTCAGGTCTTTTGAAAGGAAAAGGTGGTTAAATCCAGTCGCTAAATTTAGAAGAAAAATATTCTCTATCACGTACGCCATGTTTGTATGGGTCCTTGATAACGAAGAATCCAATGATTGCAAACCGTCTCTCCGTCTGAGAACAACGATACTGGCTACACCGTTCAGCCGATTTTCTCCAAAATTGATATTCCTCAATCAATTTGGCTGATGTCGCGGTCACTTCAATTTGAAACCGATATTTCAATTTTTGGGGGTACATTACACGAAGCCCCTGAGACATTTTCAAAATTTTCGAAAAAATGGCAGCATTGTTTTAATTGCATTTTGTAGTTGTTGTTTTTGTCTAAAGGCAGGTACATTTTTGAATGGCGAATTCTTTGCTTATTTTCGTTTTGTGTTATGTTTTATTAAATCATTATGTTATGAGTTGTTAACCAGCTTGAAACTCTGCGGGTCCCAGAACCAGAGGCCATCTGGTAAACCCAGACACCATCGCCGCTGAGCCCCTGCCTGTTAGTGATGAATATCGATTACTTACGACTCACGTTGCCGTATGGGTTACTATATCAAGGATAATTACCTATGTTCAATGTTAAAAAGACTTGGAACTTTGATGCACAAGTAACAGAATTTTTACAAAAACAAAATACCCTGCTGTTTATAGCAATAATGTGAAATAATTTAACAAGTCTCTCTTACTGGGGACAGCTCTTTTGACAAACAATGATCTTTGATAAACCTAACCTGACAATAAGAAGTTACTACTTATTGCACTCTTAAAAAAATGTCATTACGAAATCGAGATACTGTCGATTCAGAACGTATAATTTCAGTTCCCAGTTGACAATTTGAAATAGGACTGATGTATTTCGTTTCAATCTTTTCCATGCTTCAGGAGAGGAAATGGGAATTAATATCGCTTTCGAGGGCAATAACCATCAATTGAATTCTTCATGAACAAGGTCTTCAGTGATGTATTGTCATGTCGAAAAATATGTTACTTTTACGTACTTTTATTACTCTTATTTTTAAATCTCGCGGCAGTTTCTCAGTGCCAGCGTACTTTAGTGAGCTAGTTACCATTCTCAGGACCTTGACATGCCTGACCTGGGGCAAGGAGTCTTTCGGACATTCGATCTAAAGCGTGGCGCCCACTGCTTCTGGATCCGCACAGACCTGGCCGTTGAATCGAATAATTGTTCACCAATGGCGACCCGCCCGCCATGCCGCTCAGGTCCGACACGGCGCGTCGTGTATCAGCTCTGTTGCGGTCAAAATTAGAAACCGACCCCTTTTGCCGGAGATCCAGGCCAGGGCCCGGCAACTCTCCATCAAAATTAGGGATAAAGCTAGAGGTTGCTACTATAGAATACGCTGGTGTCTCCGAACACAGCTGCTGGTAAGGTTCGCCAACTTTCGGACATAAAAATTGGTCAAGAAATAGGAACACACTTTGATTATGAGCGATTTCGGAAATAAAGTTAAGTACTATGTGTTTATCTTCTTATATTCATTTACTCATAATAATACACGTATGAAAGAAAAAGGAAGCGCGAACAGCGGCGCGATCTTTTGTATCAAGTGCGTGTGCTTTCGTCCCGAGAACACAAGCACGGTTTAAATAACGTTGGTAGCAGTTCGAATTTTAGTTTATTTATTTATTTAATAGGTAATTATTACAAACAAATTAGGCCATTACAATACCTACATCCTTTTGCGTTCTAATCTTTCGAATTCTGGTATTCACCCCAAATGGTCTCTCCATCGCATCAAAGCCGCGGAAAAGAGACCACAAGGTTCGAATTTTTGTTCGTGTAAGGAGGTGATGCTCTAAAGCGCGCCAGTGTAATGGTCACCACCACGTTATATGGGAGTTATAGGGCCCTGATCCCGGCGGTGTCGATGACCCGTTGTGTATGGAAGCAGCCAAACCTTTACCAAACGCTCAGGATTCTACGTTATAAACAGATGATGCGAGCTGGTGGGTAATTAGTATCAAAACTGTATAGGCGTATAATGGGTAAACTGGGAGAGCTGCTGGGTACGAGTATTTGAAATTAATAGTATAGTAAATTGTATGAAGATGTTAGCATGGCTGACAAATCTTCTGTGGATAGTTAATATTTGTCAATGAACTGTACTCATATTGCTTTATTAACGCTAAACACCTCTCTGAAGAAATTGCCTTCTTGAATTTTATGATTTTTTTAATTGTGGATATTCCAACCATTCATAACACTTGTTACACGAATTGTCATCGTGTAAGAGACTTCAAAAAATGAGTAGTATTTGTCTCGCAGCAGGTTGTGAAACATAATGGAACAACTCATGCTGCTTTCATTTCAAGTCAATTTCGTCGTTACCGCTTCGAGCGCTAGAGGGCAACAGGAGGAATCCCCAACCATTCCGAATTGTGCTTTGCTAGGCCGGCCGGCGGCGCTAAGTAGCTCTTCAACCTTGTGAGTGAACCGTGCTAAAGCGTATGCAAATAATATAAGCCGCGCATCGTTTTATGTGCGGTTTAACACATCTGCTCTAGGCTATCACCTGTAAGTAATTCACCTACACGCTTAGTGCGTTTTCTACTGCACTTTTGTGCCACATGTGTTGGTACAAAGTGGTGCAGCGGACCTTTTGCCGAGGCGGTTTGCAGTGGGGAGATTGTGTCAATGCGGATCATGGCATGACTGCGTGGTACTGCCAGGTACATTAAGCAGGCATCCTATTTGTACGACTTTTGGGAACAACAGGTCTGTTATTAATCTACTTACGCGCTGAATAGATGCTCCGAAAATCTTTAAAAACTTTACCGCCTACGTTATGTTCGAATCATTAAAAACGAATGGTGCAAAACGAGTGGAAAAATATATTTCTTTTATTTGTTTTTTCAGTGATCCTCCGACTAAAGAGATGGCATTGGGAAGTACAAACAAAAAAACTGTCCGTATGATAACGTGTTTGCGTGAGCGAGCGGCAGTAACAAATATGGATGGAACCGTATACCTTTACACCATTACACCTTAAACAAAAACAATGCCAATGGAGATGAAGGTAAGTTGATTTCCTCTAAAATCGAATCCTGAAGATAACAAAAAGCGGATATTATTGTTTCTTTACAATATTTGTAGACATTGTCCGTAGCATTGTCACTTTTACTTCTTTATTCTACTTTGCAAAGTCGTTTGCTTCATATTGAAGGCACAATAGAAGCCAAAATATTATTGTTTCTACTTCTCCGTGTAAAGTTTCCAAATGCGTTTTTCAATGTTTTGAAGAATACTTCGTTAAATTTTGAAGAAAATACAGTTTTTAGACAGCTACTAGTAAAAGATGCTTCTTTTAGGGCAAGCGCAGCGTGCTAAAATTTCAAATTTTACAATTAGCGGGAAAAGAGATGAGAGACAATGCTCAAATATTCATATAAAATTGTGAATGCAACAATGAAAACTATATTTTCGTCGGACCGCATCAGCTATTACAGATCTTAATGCAAGTGATTTGCATTCTTGAATTAAAATTAAATGAATGTCAGTAAAGTCGTCTAAAAAATAGTGTGGTATTTGGTAAATCTTAATTTATTCTAGTCTAGAAGGATTGCGCTACTCAGTCTATCAGTCTTGTCCCAACTTGTTCTGCTAGCAAAAGAAAGGTCACTTTCCCCTCTCATATCGTAAGTAACTATTGGTTTCGCAAAATACCTAGTTAGTAACCCGAGATTTGGAAAAGAAAATAATCTTCTTGTGTTAAAGCCACATCGATCCTTAAGATGTATTCCGTCCACCCTCTAGCTAGAACCTTCCTTAAATCGTGTCACCCGCCTACTACTCCCTACCTCCTTGACAGCGTTCCAGTATGAAACCCCTGCTGGAAGATAAGCGCCCGGCGCGGCGGCGTTCGTCTCCGTCCGGGCCCTGGGGGGGGGGAGGGCGGAGAGGGGAAGGGGGCGTGGCCCCGGGGCGGCGCGG